ACACACACACACACACACACACACACACACACACACACACACACACAAACTGAGGAGACCTGCCCATAAGAAGATGGGACCTCTCGCCGCTACAGAAAGAATGTTCATATTGCTTCAAAGAGAGACAGAAAAAAAAACCTCTGTACTGTATATCAGCCGCACTCTGAGACAATTTGGCAATAAAGAAATGATACATGAGAACACATAATCCTCCACAGCTCGTTCAAAGAGAAGTGAGGATGTACACAGGAAGACAAGACGATATAATGGCTTTTGGGATGAGAAGGCAGTTTTCTGCTTGGATGCCAGCACGGGCACAGGCGGCGCAGTGATGATGACTACGATGATATGTCCCCTTATGGGAGAGTCAGGCTGGCACCCATGCTGATTCTCAGACTTGTCACCTTCTATGTACACGCATGGAGTTGAGCTGATCAAAACGGAGTCAAGAATACACACATAAATATTGCCTGTTTCTAGCGAGCCTGAATGCAGCGAGAGTTTGGTCCTTACTGAAAAGCCCTGAGTCTGAATCCAAAGTGTCTTACATGAAGATTCCTGCTTTCGACTTGCATATGTCTTTGATCGTTGTGTTGATGCACGATGCTGCTATGTATGTATGTATGTATGTATGGATGTCTTTTTGTCCGTGCTGAAAGTGTGCATTTGTCTACTGACATCATCGGGGAGTGCTCTAAGGTTGATTGTATTGTACAGTTGATGCTATCATCAGTTTGGAAATGCTAACGCAAATATAAGCTCCCGGACAGTAACTCTACTCTCGGCGGACAAGATGTGCCTTACTCGAATAGAGGATCACAAAAGTGCTACATATTCGGTCAAGTGTAAATCTCTTGTCCGGGCACTTGATGACAGGTATCTGCTACAACTGAGGGTAGTGAGATCGGAGTGTGCGTATGACATGTATGTTTGTGTGTGCATTTGTGTGTTCGTGCATGTGTGAGTGACCGCGCTGCTGTGAGGATCGCTGGATGGTAGCTGGAGTTCCTGCCAGTAGTCAAACTCATGCTACCAAGATGACTTTTCCTAACTTTGGCACAAAGATACTTACTTTCCGCACTGACAGCATTAGTCGGCTGCAACGAGAATAATGCCAATTCCCTGATAACAGAAACTGATTAAGTCACTGCAACATAACAATAGTCCTCTGGGTTGATTATCATTGACATCCACAGTGAGCCAAAGTGCCCAAAAAAGCCCCAGCTAAGCATATATAGCTGATAAGGAAGACCCAGCCAGTTCTGATTACCCTTCTTTCCCTCAGAATATCTTCTCAGGAAAGCTCTTCAAAGAAAAAAAAAAACTTGTCTAAAAGGATTCATATATAAAACCAGAATAACAAATAAAGACAAAAATATCATGGTATATAGATATGTATGGACTTATTCATAAATTGAAAAAAAAAGAAAAGTAAAATTGAAAACAATATTCAAAAGCAATAACCACAAAAACAAAAGATTAGCATACTCGATTTGGTTTTGCCCTGTACTCTTGTTGTCTTTTGAGAAATGTGCTTGTTGTAATCCATCGGAATCAACTGCTCAATTCTGGTGTCTGGTTTGGCCTTTCCCTATTTCGATATTAACAACAACAGTGGAAGAAAAAGAGACATTAAGCTTTCTCAAAGAGGTTCTGTTTGTCACGGTAACTTGCCTCTTGGCTATGCCAGG